GGGGTCTCCAGTCGCAGGCTTCTCTCGCCTCGGAGCTCAGAAGACAGTATTTAAAAAACCTGTCTCTGCCTCCCCGCTCCTCGCGCCAGCACCCCCAGCCACCTGGCCCCGTCCCTCCACTCGCAGTCGTTTCCGACCAAGATTCGGAAGAGCTTGCGGGTGGCGACGACCGCAGGGAGAGCGCTCCGGGAATCCGACGCGTTTGGGGGAAACCTGAGAGCAGGGCCAGCTGGATTTCCTTTGTTTGCTTATGAGTCTTGGGGTGGTGGGGGGGCGCGAAGGTGTCGCCCCCCGCTTCCCACTCTGGATATATTCAGCTGAAATGGGCTTTCTGGAGAGAGACTGTAAGAGAAGGGGAGAGATAGGGGAGACAGGTTGGCTCTGTGGTGGGCAGGACGAGCGAGCACTCAGAAGGCGGAAGCGCCGAGGGCTTCCAAGTCTTGAAGTTGACCGGCACCCATCGCCCCGACGGACGCCCCGGCACCCCGCACCCGCTCGCCGGCTGTTGCAGGGACAAGAAGTTTCCCCAGTGGGGACGGGTGCGCCGGTGTGGGTGTCCGTGGGGAGTTTGAGAGGGCGGCGAGAAGAACTAAGGACTGAGTGACAAGGGGACAGGGACAGGATGGTTCCAGTTAGCCTTCAGTTACCAAACGGCGGCCCTGCAAGCCAGGCCGGAGGGCCCACTACCTGGTGAAACTGGAGACTGGCTGCGCTCCCTGTGTTTGCTCGGGTCACTGGGCCGCTCTGGACACCACTTCGCGTGACCTGTCCCATGTCGCAGGCAGCAGGGGCAGGGAAACTCGGCGGCCTTTAATTGTTTCCTCGGATGGGAACAGGACAATTGACCTGATTCGCCCCAGACATGTGTGCATTGGGCACTGTTTATCCCTTGATAGTTTTCTTCATCACCAACAACCATTTGTTGGAAGATGATCAAACTTCTAAACGGGCTGCTTGTTGATAGGTATTTAAAAGTAGTTGTTTGAAAAAACATTTTAAAATAATGTGTGTTTCAAATAAGCCCTGCTGCTCTGGCTTTTCTGAAATCTGGAAGAGGAAGGGACTGGCTCCCCATTTCTCCAGTCTCCTCAGTCTCTTAACTTTCCCCAGGACCCGTGGGGATGGGTGGGAGAGCAGGGCTCCTCCATTTGGGTCTATGACTGATGGCACAATGGCCCTTTCCTCCTTCCAGCTCCCCTCCCTCCATCTCACACTTTTTTTTTTTTTTAACCATATGGTGTTGTCCTCTATTTCTTAGGGAGAACACCGAAAACAATAACTCCTCCTCCAACAAGCAGAATCAACTCTCTCCTCTGGAAGGGGGCAAGCCGCTCATGTCCAGCTCAGAAGAAGAATTCTCACCTCCCCAAAGTCCAGACCAGAACTCGGTCCTTCTGCTGCAGGGCAATATGGGCCACGCCAGGAGCTCAAACTATTCTCTCCCGGGCTTAACGGCCTCACAGCCCAGCCACGGCCTGCAAGCCCACCAGCATCAGCTCCAGGACTCCTTGCTGGGCCCTCTCACCTCCAGTCTGGTGGACTTGGGGTCCTAAGTGGGGAGGGACTGGGGCCTCGAAGCAGCGACTAGGGACACTTGTAAATAGAATTCAGGAACATTTTTGCAGCTTGTTTCTGGGGTTCTTTGTGCATAAAGGAACGGTGGACTTTCACAAATATCTTTTTAAAACTCAAAACCAACAGCCATCTCAAACTTAGTCACCTCCTTCTCTCCAGCTCTTTCCACTTTTGCATTTCCCCTCTCAGTGCAGAAATCAGGAAAAAACACACACACACAAAAAACCCAAACAAACAAAAGCACCCAGTCACCCAGTCTTAGTTCTGGGCAACCCATCTGCCTGCTTCAGTAGTCTTTTTTTTTTTTCTTTCCAATGAATGGGAATTACTAATCAACTAGATTTTAATTATTTCCCTTTAATTTATTTATGGAAAAATCTTTTGGGAAGAAGAAAAGGAAATGAAAAAGAGAGAGAGAAATAAGTCAAAATAGTGAAAACAAGAGCCTCTAGCCCAGGAGGAAATGGTTGCATTCTTAAGGTGAAAAGGACAAATAGGATCTTATAACTTTTTTTGATGGGGAAAATTAAGTTTACATTTTTCATATTTAGTGTTAAACAATTTTATGTAGCTTAAAATGAAATAACAGTATTAGGGGGAAAAACAAGTGCCTAAATGTCTTAATGCTCTCTGCGTGTGGCAGTTAGAGATAGAAGTGACCATTAGTAGTAATACAACTATTTTTGTCAAATTTAGTGGGGGTTTTTTGGTTGTTCTTTGTTTTCTTGGGTTTTTTTTTTTTATGGCCAGCTTTAAAAATGTAACAATGTGAGAAACAAAACAAACACTCCTGAATGCCATTTCTTCTCCTGCCCTCGAAGTGCTCATATCTGTATCCTTCTCCTGTTAAGGGTTGCCCCTGTTCCTAGTTTCTAGCTTGCAACAAATATGGGACAAATCTGGCAATCTGGTATTTGTTACTAAAACAGCATGTGTTTTCAGGTTTCTTTTCTATTGTACCTAAACCTGTCTAAATTAAAACTTAGTAGAACACCAGGAGTACGATTCTGTTTCTCAAAGGTGAGTTGTGTATTGCTGTCATTGCTGCCTCCTCTTCCCCCTGTTTCAACATAGTTTTGTTGCTCTTCTATGGTGGTTATGGATTGCAGGGTACCTGAACCAAGAGTGGTGACTGAGTTAATTATATGACAGAAAAAGAGTGAATTTGGCTTTGAGCTATTAATTTATTTTTATTATTTACATATGCAATTTTGTTTACCACTAGCTCTACTCCACAGCATTCATTTGTTAACTCAGCTCTTTTGTATTAACAAGTTTATGAACAGACTGTGAAAGTAAAATAATTTATCTGCTTGGAAAAAAAAAAAAAGAAAGAAGAGGAGGGGGACTCGAACAAGGAGAGAAACTTTGTGAATTAACCTGTACAAATAGAAAGCAGACCAGCAGCAGGACAGGAGCTCTTTGCAGTGCTGCCAGAGAGCGTGCAGAAAAATCGCAGTCATCAGGTAGGCTCCATATTATTTTTGCCTGGGGCAAAAATGATGTATCTTTGTATTTAGCTTTTAAAATTAGTGAAACAAATGGCATTATTTATTAAAATTCTACTCAGGATAACAGGATTGGCTTGCTTGTGCTTTGTAAAATATTGTTCCCCAGAGAGAGTCTATTTATTTTCTGACATGACAGTTTCATAATTTTGATGTTTCCCCATCCGTGTCGCCATTAATATAATCATTTCTTCTTCTTTTTTTTTTTCTTACTCTTTCCTATCTTTCCTGTGCTGATCTAGGAAACTGAGGTGGGGTGGGGATTAAGGCCTTAGTAGTATGAGGGTATTTTTAAAATGTCAAATGGATTTGACGGAGTTCAAGGGAGAAAGGGTCACTGTACTTAACTGTAGTCACTTTTACTTATAAAGTCATTTTTCCCCTCAGTGACGGACAGATGTGCACACAGCCGCTCAGAGACAGTCATTTGGATTGGGAGCTCAGGGTCCCCATCGCCCTTGTTAGTGTTTTGGATCATTAAGTTGGTGTTTATTTAAGTCACTAGGGTGTTTATTCTCCAGGTCTTGGGCCGTGGAGAAATGCCACCCTCTGCAGGAGGGGGCTCTCACAGGGGATCTCCGCACATTCTTCACATTCACTCCCCAAAACAAACACCCTGCACAAAGATAGCTTTCAATGACCCTGACAGGCTTCAAAGGATGCCGCGGAAATCTCCCTGGAAAATAAGGAAGGGCCAATTACTTTAATTTCTTACATGCCCTCTCTTCCTACTCCGATGACTACCCCCCACCCTTCTAGCTCTGCTTAGTATAATTTTAGGCTCCTGAAAGTTGTCTCCCTGGGCACGGAAGCCCACTTCCTGCTCCCTTGGTCGGTGAATCTCGGACTTGTCAGCAGATCTGGCGAGGAGCAGAGCGGGCTGATCCTGTAAAAGCCCCTGTGATTACTGCTTTTGTAAACTCGTTAAAAGGACAATTTTCTGTCGCAGTCATAAACTCTTTGTAAAATCCCTGGCACTCGATCCAGAGTGCATATTCCAGATGTGTTTAATAAGAGATTGCACAAGACACCCCTCTGCCACCCTCGCCTCAGTCTGGCTAGACGAGGGAGAAGCAGGAGGAGGTGAGAAAGCTGGTTGCTTCGAGTTTTCTTGGCAATCATTTTAGAGCGATCATTAGGGGGAACTAACCATATATATATATATATATATTTTTTTTCCTGGAGGAACTCTTCGAGGACCAGCTGTTAAAGGACTTCCAGTTCACCTCCTTGGCGTCGCAGTTTAGTTGAATCAAAGCCACTTTTCCTTTTTCCCCCACAGATTTCATAACCATAGCCAAAAGTAATGGACAACGGCTTATGAGTAAAGTGTTTTTAGGACGAAACCTTACAACATTTTGCCAAGTAAAATGACAAAAATAACAAAACAAAACAAAGAGTAGGTCGGTTTATTTTTTTATGTTTTAAATCTGAACACAGGATTGTTCAGGTCCGGCTGCCTCCTCTTCTTGACCTCTCGGCTGAGAGCGAAGCTTCCTAAATACTCAGAGGTCAGGGGGCTTGGCCGGCGGTTTCCGTTTTGGGCTGAGCAGGTAGGGACTCCAGAGCCCTAAAGGCCCCTGGAGGTGCAGGCAGGGCGACAGGCGCCGTTGGGGCCGGGCATCGCCGGGCTGGAACCTATTCTCCAGGCAAAGACAGCTGGGTCCTACCCCGAGCTGAAGTGGAAGCTTCCAGGAAGAGGCCGTGGCTTTGGCACTTATGGGTGAACTCTTCACCGCCGATCTCCCCCGGACACCGAGGGCCTTTGGGAACCTGGCACTGAACGCTTGCGGAGCGGCCCTTCCTCTGCTCCGGCGCCCATGGCTGCAGGGGCTTCACTCCCCGCGCCTCCCGGCCTCCCCGCCTGTAAGACTTTGGTAAAGTGCAGGCAGAACTCCACGTGGGGGATCCGGAGGCTTCCCTCCTTTCCGTGGGTCCACGGCTGCAGGAAACGCGGGAGCTTCTGCTACCCGCACACTCCGGAGGGCGTCATTGCCACCCTGCCCTCTCGGGGCGCCGAGAGTGAGATGCCGCTGCTCCCCGCATCACAGCAGCTCCACCGCGGGATCTGGTGGCCCGACCCGCGGAGCCCTTGAGCGCAGAGGCTGCAAGGCTGGCCTCGAAGGGCCGGACAGTGGAGGAGGCTCGGCCTGAACCTCGCGGGACAAGGCAGGTGCCGTTGTCTTGGGAGGCACCTCCCAGGCCCGAGTCCGGTC